AAATGATTCCATGCTCTGGTTGCAACTGACAATGCTGCATTGGTAACTGGCCTTTGGAAATGCTTGTGCTGATTCCCGCTTGCACCTAAAAACTGTAACAGTTTGACCACTGTACGCATCCGATGGGCTTGTATGTTGTTGTTCATCAATAATTTTTCCCGCAGTCATAACCGGCTCACTTTTGTGGAACTCTTTTTCAGGTAAACGATTTTCGAATTGAGTTACAAGCGAACTACTTCCACTCAGCAAAAAACTCCCCCTGACATTTGGAGGATTAAAATGTTCGGGATTCAGTGTTTCTGCTCTTCGGATAACTGGACGATAAACAGCGTGCGCGCTGTCGATGTGTCCTCGTTGGTGCAGTGCATTTACTAGCTGATTTGTTTCGGTCACCATGTTTGGTCGCTCAGAACTCATTTCATTCGATCTAGGAGTTCTAACAGTTTGCGTGCCATACGAATCGTATGAATTCATGTGCTGCTGCTCACTAATAATTTCCCCGACAGTAATTTCCGACCAGCTTTTGAGAAGATCCATTTCAGGCAATTCGTTTTCAGGTTGGTTTAAAAGCGAACTAACATTCCAAACCAGGAAGTTTCCCGCATTATTTGAAGTTTCAGGATTAACATTTTCCGCGTTTGATACCTGTGATACCTGAATATTCGGGACACAGGCAGAATGCGCGCCATCGATATCCCGTCCTTGTTGATGGAAGACATCAGTCAAAATTTCTGGCATCTCGAAATCTGCGTTATAAGGGAAAAATTCCGGAATAATCAACGCTTCTATATTCACATCACCTTCGTATTCAATGTACTGCTGGGCTGTATCAACTGCCAAGTTTGGCGATCCGAAACTTGTGTCAGACAAATTCGTGAAACTGTTGGGAATTGGCAAAGCTTGAGATTGGAAGTAACTTTCTTCTTGTACCGGAGTTGTTCCATTCCAAGCTATTGTTGGAGGAAAATTAGTTAAAAGGAAATGAACCAGAAGAGAGATGTGAAGTATTGTCGCAGCCATTTAGAAGGTTTCAGCGCATGGAATGAGAATGTCAGTAAAAATCGTCTATCGCATGATAATAGTAAGTCTTTTAAGCTGTTTTGAAGTCTCGCGTACTGCACAGTTCTTAATTTATGCAGCAAATGCGCCGAAAATTTTCATGGCAACTGTAGCTCAGACAAAAACAAAATTGAAGTCAAAAGTAGAAATCCCCTCCGTATTTGTCCTCTTTGGGAGACTCTGAAATAGTCTGAATGGTACCATCAGCGACCATTCGTTCCGAATAATGTTTGGCAAATCTGCGAAATGGTTGAATATTAAGACTGAATCGAAAAAGTCAGTGATGGTGCTTGTAGATTAACAAAGCCAAAACAAAGTAAGGTACCTCTTTTAAGCTGTTTTATTTTACATATTCATCTGGTACAGAGTTTAATTAATGCTCTCTGATACTTTGTTTGGCAGCCTTTTCGGCATAACACACCGTCGATGCATCTAGTAATAACTCTGTGAGATTCGTGATCAAAGGACAGTTGCTTGATGGTTCCTTACTAATTGGTACCTTCGCCCTCTACTCTGCTTTCTTGATAGGTGCCACATTCCGTTTGATAGAGCACGTTACCTCATTTGTCGGTGATCCTTTTAAATTACGCAACAAGCGGAAAAGAAGTATGCAAGTAAGTGTTCGCTTAAGGCATATGTGGGCAACCGGCGGCCTGGCCCGTAGAAGAATCGGAACGTGATGCTTTACTAGATAAATGAGCGATTTGTACTCCGTCATGCCTCTGAACTCTCCTGAAAATAAACCCAGGCTGGAACACACCGAGGTGGGCCCGTACGATCATGCGTTTTTGCACCAGAATTGAAGTACTCAGGTCATTAACGGCATGAATGGTTGCTGCTCTACACCTACCTTTTGCGGTCACTAACATAAATCACCATAAATTTTGCATAAAGGAAATGGACAGCTTCCATTTAACGGCCGTTCTTTGAAAATAATTTGCCTGAACAGTGGAAAATTTTTCTGCTAAAACTTTAAGTGTCCGCACGATAGAACCACGCATATCTCAAGGCTGAATTTGAAATACTTAATTTGTACTTGGAAAGGGAACATTCCTCCAAAATTTCAGCCCTCCAGTTGTTCTTTTTCCCGAGTTAGTAATTTTCCTTCAGTAACTTTCATACGCCCTTACGTGAGTACCACGCATAGCCTGGGGCTGAATTTGAAATATTTGAATTGTATTTTGACAAGGTACATTACCCCAAAATTTTAGCTTTCTTGCTTTCCTGGTACCCGAGTTAGCAGTTTTTCCCCTAAAACTTTTTTGTGTGAGTACCACGCAAACTTGGGGGGCTGAATTTGAATCTTTAGCTAATATATGTACAAGGAATATCCGTACAAAGATTCAGCCCCTTAGCTCTTGTGGTTCCCGAGATTGCTTTCCCGCCAAAAAATTTACACATTTTTTTAAGGCTTCCATACGCGACACCCAGTCGTCCAAGCGGGATGAAATTAATACGGGAGGGTCGCGCGTGGTATGGGTACATACTTCCAAAGTTTCACCCTTCTAGCTTTTCTGGTTCTCGAGTTGAACGTGGGTGACAAAAAGTGCGAACACACAGACACAGACAAACACAGCCTCTTCCCAATATGCGTCTTTGCAATTTGTATATATGCAAAAACGCATAATAAAACTAAGATACGCGCGAGGCTAACAGACGACAGTCTGGAAGAAACTTTGAGACTCTCCATCAATGATATAATCCAGATCTGAACAATCTTGTGTGAAAAGTTCAAGCTCAGAACTCACTTTAACCTGATGTTGTTTATTTTTTTTTTTTTGCTGAATGAACAACCTGGTAAAAACTTGTCTTTTTGTTATACACTTTTGCATCCTATGTAAAATGCAAAACGCATAATTCGAGAGAATGAAACGTGTCGCTAAAGGTTGCTCATGCCTTGCCTAAGCAAATAAATAGCTCATGGAGGATTGGATATTCATCGGTGAAGTCGAACCCTTATAATTCTTCAGCTATAACTAATGATAATAAATGCACATTATCTAAAATTAAAATTACAATAGTCTCAAGTTGCAAATAATTGAGTCTGTTTGAGCTATCTGTAAAATCTGGGAAAACTACTCGTGGCTGATGAAATAGTTCTTGCCTATTTAGACTTATATGGCTCTGCCGAAAACTCCATCATTAGGCTATTGACCTAGCTACGCCTCGATTCACTGATCTTTAGCCACCCTTTTCTAATCCACAGCTTCGTGGCATTTATTTCTGCTTGACTTGCTGGTGAGTCTGCAAACATTTGTAGCCATAAATGTAGAAAATGTAATTCTTCAATCTTCAGTAACTACCAATAGTATAAAATACGCCTTCAAAAAACAGGGAGAAGCTCATTTCTTATTTAAAGTAAAAGAAAGCTCTTTTCTTCGTCAAATCCAGGCTGGAAAGCACCAGGCTTGCTGGTATGATCATGCGTTTTTGAACTAAACTCACAGCTCGCTAATAGCAGCAATGCTTCTTGCGTTGTAGCCTAACACTTGGGCTCATATTGGCCGAGTTTTGGCCCTTTTCAGCATGCAAGAGAAAGGGCATCGGCTGGCATGAAGGCGGTACATTATAGAGCTGCATGGAACTCCAGGTACACGATTACCAGTTTTTATGCTTTTTTATGCATTTTTGCATATATGTAAATTGCAAAAACGCATATTGGGAAGAGGCTGTCTGTGTATATGTGCGTGTGTGTGTGTGTCTGTGTGTTTGTGTGTTCGCACTTTTTGTCACCCACTTTCAACTCGAGAACCAGAAAAGCTAGAAGG